TGTTATCATTTCCTTTGTTGCTGTTGTTTTAGTATTTATACATCCATTCTTGAAGCTTGTCTCAAGTATTTTTTTTTTTTAAACATGTTATTGTGGTATGGGTGAAAGTTTACAGAGCAAATTAGTTTCTCATTCAACAATTTATATACTTTTTGTTTTGTGACATTAGCTGCAGTCCTCTCATTGTAATAGCACTCTTCCCACTTCTGCCCTAGATTCCCTGTTTCCCTTCATCCATCTTTCCTGCCTTCTGAAATTTGTTTTTGGGCACATCTCCTCTTTTGGTCTTGTATGGTTGATTGTTCTGGGGAGCATGTTCCTCATGGGGGTTATTATTCACTTTATAGACCTGTCTGTTGCTTAGATGAAAGGAAATCTCTGGAAGTAGGTAGGTAGTGTGTTTCTAGAAATTTGTCTATTTTTCTAGGTTTTCAAATGTATTGGAGTATAATTTTTCATAGTATTCTGTTACTATTTCAGTTGATTCAGTTGTAGTGTCACCCATGTCATTTCTTATTTGTGTTATTTGTGTCTTCTCCCTCTTTTCCTTTGTTAATTTGGCCAGCAATTTGGCAATTTTATTAATTCTTTCAAAGCACCAACTTCTAGTCTTATGAATTCTTTCTATTGTTTCTCTGTTTTCTATTTATTTTTGCTCTAATCTTTATCATTTCTTTTCTTCTGGTGACTTTGGGCTTTTTTTCTGGTCTTTTCATATTTGGTAGAGTTATGTATTTAAGGTGTTGATATTGGCTCTTCCTTTTTTCTGTGTCCATATTGCTATAAATTGACATCTCAACACTCATTTTTCTGTGTCCCAAAGGTATTGGTATGTTTTGTTTTCATTCTCATTTGTTAAATTTCATTTACTATTTCTTCTATTACCCAGTCATTTTTAACCAAGTGAGTGCCTCCAGAATGAGATCCATTTGTTGAAACATTTCAGTGGATATTCCGTCAATTCCTGGAGGTTAGTTCTTTGCCAATTTCTTCAATGCAGCTTCAACTTCTTCCTTTAATACCATTGGTTCTTGATCATATGCCACCTCCTGAAATGGATGAAGATTGACCAATTCTTTTTGGTACAGTGACTTAGTGTATTCGTTCCATCTTCTTTTGATGTTTCCTGCATCATTCCATATTTTGCTCATAGAATCTTTCAACATTGATTTCAGTATTGCAATTTGAGGCTTAAATTTTTTCTTCACTTCTTTCAGCTTGAGAAATGCCGAGAGTGTTCTTCCTTTTTGGTTTTCTAACTCCAGGTCTTTGCACATTTCATTATAATAAATGATTTTGTCTTCTCGAGCTGCTTTTTGAAACCTTCTCCTCAGTTCTTTTTATCATTTCTTCCATCTGCTTTGGCTACTCTTCATTCAAGCGCAAGTGTCAGAGCCTTTTCTGACATCCATTTTGGTCTTTTCTTCCTTTCCTGTCTTTTTAATGACCTTTTGCTCTCTTCATGTATGATGTTCTTGATGTCATCCCACAATTCCTCTGGTTTTTGGTCACTGGTGTTCAATGCATCAAAAAGATTAGATGTCAGTAAAGGGAGATCAAGAGAAAAAAAATCAAAAGTATGTGGATCTCATGCTGGAGGCACTCACTTGGTTATGCCAAGAGATTTGGAAGACAGCTACCTGGCCAACTGACAAGAAGAGATCTGTATTTGTAACCATTCCAAAGAAAGGTGATCACACAGAATGTGGAAATTATCTAACAATATCATTAATATCTCATGCAAGTAAAATCTTACTGAAGATAATTCAAAAACAGCTGCATCAGTATATTGACAGAGAACTTCCAGAACTGTGATCTGGATTCAGAAGAGGATGTGGAACAAGGAATATCATTGCTGATGTCAGATTGATCTTGGCAAAAGCAGAGAATTCCAGAAAGATGTTACTAGTGTTTTATTGATTATGCAAAAGCATTCATGGATTATAATAAATTATGAATAACATTGAGAAGAATGGGAATACCAGAACACTTGATTGTGCTCATGAGGAACCTGTACATAGACCAGGAGGCTGTCATTCGAACAGAGCAAGGGGATACTGCATGGTTTAAAATCAGGAAGGGAGTGCATCAGGATTGTATCTTCTCACCACACTTGTTCATTCTGTATGTGGAATAAATAGTCCTAGTAGCTGGATTATATGAAGAAGAATGTGGCATCAAGATTGGAGGAAGACTTGTTAACTTGCGATATTCAGACAACACAACTTTGCTTGCTGAAAGTGAGGATGACTTGAAGCATTTACTGATGAAGATTAAAGACTACAGTCTGCAGTATGGATTACGTCACAACATAAAGAAAACAAAAATCCTCACAACTGGACCGATAAGCAGCATCACAATATATGGAGAAAAGATTGAAATTGTTAAAGATTTCATATTACTTGGTTCCACACTCAGTACCAATGGAAGCAGCAGTCAAGATGTCAGATGATGTATTGCACTTGGCAGATCTGCTGTAAAAGACCTCTTTTAAGTGCTGAAGAGCAAAGATGTCTCCTTGAAAAGTAAGGTGTGCCTAACCCAAGCCATGGTATTTTCAATCACCTCATATGCATGTGAGAGCTGGACAATGAACAAGGAAGATCAGAGAAAAGTTGATGCTTTTGAGTTGTGGTGTTGTTGAAAAATACTGAAAGTACCATGGATTGCACCAAAAGAACTAAGAAATCTGCCCTGGATGAAGTGCAGCTGGAATGCTCCTTGGAAGTGAGAATGGCCAGACTTCGTCTCCTCTACTTTGGTCATTTTGTCAGAAGGGACCATTCCTTGTAGAAGGATATCATGCTTGGTAAAGTGGAGGGTCAGCGAAAAAGGAGAAGGCCCTCAACGAGATAGATTGACATGGTGGCTGCAGTGATGGGCTCAAGTATAGTAGGGATTGTGAGGCTGGCACTGGGCAGTGTTTTGTTCTGTTGTACGTAGGGTTGCTATGAGTTGGTGCCGACTTGAGCACCTAAGAACAACAATTTTATAGAAGGTTATAATCTACTATCTGCATTGTTTCTTACCTTTCCATGTCAGCTAAGTCCTCCGACGGTTGTTTTTCTCATCTGAAAAATGGAAATAAAACTACCTTCCACCAGTGTATGAGATAATGTATGTTTAATATTTATAGCCTATAAAGAGGCATATAGCTATAATGTGGTAGTATAAATACTTCTCCAAGTAGATGATTAAATTTCACAGGAGAGAATTGGTAAGTTCTTGAATTTATTTAATATTTTCCTTATCAATTTTGTCATTGAATCTGTATTCAAGATATAATGTCAAATTAATGATGACATTTGAGCATACTTTGAACATTTGTGTGAGTAAATAAATAACCTATAGTCCTTGGTTTTTCTTCAGGTCATTGCTTTAATAATACAAGATGAGTTATATCATCATATGTCAGTGATATTTCACAATTTAGAAAGTAGTGTGTAGTTTTTGAAATAATTTATTACGACAATTTTTAAACGTTTATAAAAGCAAAGAATAGGATAATGAGTAACAATTATCAGATGGTTACTTTGTTTCAGTTACTCTCACCTCCATACTGAATTTTCAAAAGCAATTTTTAGACATAGTTTTTTACCCATACTTATTATGTATCACTTTTTAAAGAAATTCTGCCATCATACCATTATCACAACTGAGAAAAATTAAGAATATACCTTAATATGATGAAATATCCAGTCAATTTTCAGACTTCCCTAGTTGTCTCATAGCTGTTTATAATCGATTTGTTCCAGACAAAATCTACACAGTTCTACAAATTGCATTTGATTTCGGTTGATATGTCTCTTAAGTTTCTTTTAATTTACATACTTCTTTTTTCTCTTTGCTTTTCTTTCCTCTTTATTTGTTAAGGAAACCAAATTATTTGTCATGCAGGATTTTTCTTATTTTGGGTTTTGCTGATTGGGTCCCTGTGGTGTTACTTATTTCTTCTCTCTGATTTTGTATTAATTGGTAATTAGATCTAGAAGCTTGATCAACTTCATGTTTGATTTTTGGCAAGAATATTTCATAGGTGGTGCTGTGAAATCCTGTTCCATCATTGCATCATGATTTGATTACCATCATGTCTAGTTATTGTTCTTTTTATTCTTTTTATAATATTAGTTGGTTAATGGTTTCAGGTATTATCACTAGATCTGTTATGAAGATGTCCCTCAGTTTTTCATTTAGTGTTAGAACAACCATTCATGATCATTGCCTAGATCCAGTATTGTGTTTGGATATCATAATAGGGTTCTAAAACTTGTTGATGTGTAAAATGTCAGTTTCACTTAACTAGTGAATCCAGAATTGAAAAGTAATATAGTTGGCTGATAGCAATTAATTGCTTTATTATTTACCAAGTCTACTTTTGTAGGATACTTAGTGTTAAAGTTTTTATGGACAGTGGCTTTTCTCTTTTCTTTAAGCTCTGTTTTATGAAAATAACAATGAAAATCAGACTTTGTGTGTGGATAAAATAAACGTATTTTATGCTTTCCTATTGCAGAAATCACTTCTCAAGAAGTTCAGTTGCTGCTGGGGGGCAGAAGGGAAAATCTTACTATACAATTACATTCACTGTCAGTTTTCCACATAAAGATGATGTTTGCTACTTTGCTTATCATTATCCGTATACGTATTCAACTTTGCAGGTGAGAACTCATTTAATTAAATTATGACAATTATTGTGTCATGTACATGTCAGATAACTGAAGAAAAATTAATTTTAATTAAATATCTTAATAAATAAGAAAAAGGTTCACAGTGTTGAAGATTCTAGAAAACAGTATTGAAAACATTAAAGGGGGTAAAATGGGAATGGGGTCTTTATATTTACATAATAGAAAGAAATTTTAAAGAAACGTGATATGAATTTAGCTTTTCATCTTTTTTGTAGAAATCTTCAGTTTTTCTAAGATTCGATGCTTTGTGAGATTTCTACTTGTTTAACTGAAAGCATCAAATCTTACAGAAAATCAAAGAGTAGCAAAATGAGGGTTTATTTTGAATTTTTCTCTTGGAAGTTCATGACTTCTGAGTCCTAGACCCAGATTTTTTAGACTGTGGGGTATAAAATTTGTTCTGTGGGTTCTTTTGAGATTTTTTTGAATATTTGCTTTGTAAAGCAAAACATTGCAACTGTTGGTTAATTCAAGTAATTAAATTACCCACCATGGTAGATCTCAGAATGGAATGTCATCTGTCCTAATGGTCAGAGATCCTGAAGATAAGATCCCTTTACAAAGAAAGAAATCAGAACTACTGTGATTGGAAACAGGCTTCCAAATTATGAGGGAAAGGAGAAAATGAAAGAAAAAGAGTTCTTACAGCAGAAGAGATACCAAGGCTAAGAACACCAAGTGAGGCAGAGGATCATTTTATTTTAAATAAGGTTAGAATCTACAGTGAGGGTAGAATGTTCAGGTAGATTTCAGTGCTGAATAAAATAGCATCAGAAACTATACTTATTGACTTAGTACTTCTATCTTGAGTAATTTATCCTAGGAAATTAATTACAGATGTATATAAAAATATATCTTCAAGGTTGTTGCTTACATAGTTATATGTAATTGTTCTCTGCTGAGCTTACTTTTAAAATTTATTTTAAATCTCCTACTTCCTTTCAGTCCCACTAATACTACCTTTTCCTGGCAACTATTGTTTCTTCCCCGGACTTCTGCCAACCTCTTTCTAAGTGGTGTCCTAGGATTCTTTTTATAACCCATTTCCTCTTTTGCAGTCTTTGTTCCCTGTTGTACCCAGGGAGGTCGCTAGTGGCAAATATAGTCATATACACCCCCTACTTAGTGGTTTCTCTTGACCTTTGCATAAAATCTAGATTCTCATGATTTATTTAGTCATTTTTGTGCTATTTTTGACAATATCCACACACTGTTTAAACTGTTATTTATTTAATACTTGTCTTTAAATAAACTTTAAAATAATTCACTCTTTAAAATTTATCCTCATACTAGGTTAGTAAAAAAACGACATGGAGGCCACATGTTCTGACCTCCTCTAATCCTACAAGAGGAAGACAGGATTACCAGCAGTAACCCAAGGCCTATTACTGCAAGGCCAGACATGCTGCCTCCCTCCAGCCTTCCTTTCAAAGCCTTCCTCCCAAAGCACCCACCACCTCTCCTCTGGGTTTGATAATTCCCTGCAGTGGCCAAACAGAACTCACAGATTATGGAGTTTATTAGGGAAGCACCAGGCTACAATTCAAGCTCAGGAAAAACGCTCAGTCTCTCTCCCAGCCCACCGTCCCTCAGCCAACAGTCTCTCACAGTCTCTTTCCCAGCAGTGCTGGTCCCTCGGTGTCTCACTCAGCGATGCGTGTCTCTTGCGCCTCTTTCCCAGCAGTACGTGTCTCTTTCTGGGGCGAGTGTCTCTTTCAGCAGCACGTCTTCCTCAACCAGCAGTCAGAGAGGCCTCCTTTTGAGCCCGGCAGGGTGGTCAAACTAGCCAATTATAGCATCAGAACTCTAAGCACCTGAGAGAGAGTGGGCACCTCCCAGAACATTGTTTTGTGCCACTCCCAACAGAAATACTCCAGGTGGACACCTTCAGCAATCAGGAGCTCCTCACTTGCTCATAGCAAATCCCACCTTGGAGTTTACAAAGACTTATGGGTAGAAAAGCCACACAAAGTAATTTACTACACCGCAGTTAGTGTCCATGGATTTTTTTTTTTAATTCACAGTGAAACAAATACCTATTAAATTTTAAAAAATGTTATCTACGTATCTCTTAGTTATCTCAATTACCAGAAGTGTGTGTAGCATGTTTGGGAGAGACTGGTCTACCAGGTATCTCATCCTGCTTCATATTCTTTTATTTCTCACTGTTGTTCTGTCTGGCCTAGTTGTAATGAACCTTTTTCAGGTCTCTGAAATGCCCCGATGATTTCTTATATTGCACCGTTCCTATACACTTTTTCTCTGCTTGCAGCAGTCTTCTCTTTCTTTTCCACTCATCCTTTGAATCTCAGTTTAAATCTCATTTTCCCTAGAAGGCCTTTCTTAACTGCTCAGATTAGGCTAGGCTCCCCTCTTCATTTGTTCATTACCAAGTCCCACAGTTTCTGGCTAATAGTGACCTCTCAGTGAATAGTGATTATGAGACTAGACACAGGCAAAAGTTTGGAAACCAAGTAAATATCGTAAGGGATTGGACTATTTATTTTTGGTTTTAACTGTAAAATAAAACCATTGAAAGTTATTTTTTTTCTTTGAAAAGATCCCCACATATTTAATGTCTTTAATATTCATAATTATGAATATATATGTTTATATGTATTTGTGTATAAATTGTTAAGTGATAAAAATAGATTATGAGAAGTCTCACATATAACCCAGTTTCATATACATTATGTTTGTTGGCAGTAATCTAGGTATTGTGCAAATATGGGTGTTTAAAAAAATTGTTTTGTACTTTCTGTGTTTTCCCGACATTTTACAACGAACCTGTATTAATCTTGAACTCAAGAAAAAAGTTACTAAAAATATTTGTGCTACATAATTTGCTCTCTTCAGATTTAGATTGCCATTGCAGGTCTGCAGTCACTTATTCACAATTGCAAACCCAAAGGCTTTGAAAACAAAAAGCTTTTTCATAAGTAATTTGTCAGCAAAGCCTGACCTGAAATGATGTGAGCTGATTTATAATATTGGTTCCCCTTAGGGTGACTCTTCAGATGTTTCATTGTAGCAGTAATAATAATACCGGGGTTCTGCCCCTGATCCTGCTGATGGTGTTGCATAATTAGTCCTATATGCCCTGTATCACCTTTCTCAAATTCCCCAAATATTGATGTTTGAAGTACATCTGGCCCTGGGAGTATCAGATAAGGGGTTATGAACCTGTTCTACTTCTGGTTGTGTGGAGATCTGGATACATTATTTCTGTATACCGAGGTTTTAAATGATTGTATACTTTGCTTTTAAATTTTTATCAAGATGCACCTTCAAAAATTGGAATCAGCACACAATCCTCAGCAAATCTATTTTCGAAAAGACGTGTTGTGTGAAACCTTGTCTGGAAACAGCTGCCCCTTGGTGACTATAACAGCAATGCCAGAGTCTAATTATTATGAACATATCTGTCAATTCAGTAAGTCTGTCTTCTTCACTGAAGATACTAGTAATTCTCACTTCTTTTTCTTTATATATATATGTATACATTCTGTAATGGAAATAATGCTTAGTAGGCATCAGAAGACTTGAGTTCCAGTCTTAGCCCTGTTGCTGTCTAGCTCTGGACCTTAGTTCCTCATTTCCAAAATCTCTACGGTCCCTTTTCTATACTAATATTCCTTAATGTTATGCTTAGAAATCATCTCCAAATATAGTACAACATTGTTTTAAAAGCTAATATAATACCATCAATTTTTATATTGACAAGTAATGTTGTTTATAAATATAATATACAAAAATCTATAAAATGTTTTGATAGCTAGGCTGAATAGGTACTTTTCCCACCTGCTATTTGTATTTTTAAAATTGCTTCAAATGTGTAGCTATGATAGTAAAAACAAGAAAACTGTTGTAATTTTGATAAGAAGGTATTTTCAGGGACGAGAAAGAACTTGATATATATGAAGATAAGAGAGGGTGAGCTAAGTGGCTATTTTGTAGACATGTATGTCTAAATGTATAGTGAAAAATATTTTTCTTTGAAAATCTGTGAACAGATAACACTTTTTCTTTTTTCCTCTGTACTTAGCATAGTGGCATAAGACAGGGGTAAGATTATATTTTTCTTTTTTTCTCCATGATTTTATGAAAAAATAATTTGTGTTTAAATTTCCCCAACTACTTGCTCTTTAGAAAACCAACATTATATTAGAGAACTAATTTTACATTTAGATTAATCGTTGGGAAATAAAGAAGTGAATTATGTAGCTGCTCAAATACTATCTATTGTGTTATATTCATATTATGAGCTCCTTTAGGACATGGCTTTCGTATTTATTTCTTCCTTAAGGCCTAGTGCAGTGCTTTGTATATAGTAGGTGCACCATGAATTCTGTTAGGAATTTATATCAGAATTTCCAACTGAGTAGAAAAGCCCCAAAGTAAGATATACAAACTTTTAGTAGTTGTTCATTTTAATTTGAGATTTTATGTGTACTTTAGGAAATCGCCCTTACGTTTTCTTATCTGCTCGGGTACATCCTGGAGAAACTAATGCAAGTTGGGTTATGAAAGGAACATTGGAGTATCTCATGAGTAATAATCCTACTGCTCAGAGCTTACGAGAATCCTATATTTTTAAAATTGTCCCTATGCTAAATCCAGATGGTGTCATCAATGGAAAGTAAGTTAAGAAATAGTTAATAGAAATGTTATCAACTATTGTGGCTTTCCTATATAAAGTTGCTGAAATAATAGTACCCAGGTTAATTTGGTAAACAAATCCTGTGATTTTTCTAGAACAAAGAAGTTTTTGGTGGGAGATTCTTACTGAGTTACATTTTTAAATGAAAATAATTTGGTAAGCCAGTAGTGTAGGATGTTTTGAGGAATTCCATATTTATTCATGAGAATATGATTTAATACAATGCCTATATATCTTCATTTGTTTTAAGGAAATCACATGTTAAGATATGAGGAAGGTTTTTGACATATACCTCCGTATTTGTCAGTTGCCTGATCTTAGTTTGTCCTGAGTTAGAATCTCCAAGGATTGCTTTGCACTAACATGGAAGGTTAGCCTCCTCTGTTAACCTCTTCCTGATATTAGGAGGTATAATTTCTGACAAAAGAAATACCTTAGACTGAAGTGTTGTTGGGTGCTGTCAAATAGACTTTGATTCATAGTGACATCCCATAGGACAGAATAGAACTGCCCCATAGGATTTTCTTGGCTATAATCTTAATGGAAGGGCTCTGGTGGTGTAATGGTTAAACACTGAGCTGCTAACCAAAAGGCAGGCAGTTCAAACCTACCAGCTGCTCTACAGGAGAAAGATGAGGCCGTCTGCTTCTGTAAAGATTTACAGCTTTGGAAACTCTTTGAGGCAGTTCTACTGTGTCCTATAGAGTTGCTACTAGTAGGAACCTGAGTAAGGTGAAAATCTGTCAGAGAAAGAGAACTCAAAATATTTTCCACAGATAGAGTACAATAGGAAAGTGGTAAGACAGCACCCAGCAAAGGTAGAAAACTTGCAAGACCTGGAAAAACAAGGCAGTCCATAGAATTCCAGCTCTCACAGACTTTACTGTACAACAGATGGCTATTATGTAATCAAATGGAAGATAGGACCATTAATAAATTTTATAAAGTATATAATAAAACCCCAGAATTGAGAATTAATTTTTTTTAGAGCTTCAAAATTTTGACTTGTAACTCTAAAAACTTAACTGCAGTTAAATGTATGTAACATAAGATCTTGCACAGAGCAAATAAATGCTCAGTAAACGTTAATATAATTAATATAATATATACTCAGTTGAGCCTACCATCCATACGTTTTTGAAGGTATGGAATAGAATCATAAAATCAAACGAGGAGCTTATGTAAAGGTTTATTGGTATCAATGTTTTTCTGTTGTCTCTGTGTTTATGTATGTGTAGCCACCGCTGTTCTTTAAGTGGAGAGGATTTGAACAGACAGTGGCAAAGTCCGAATCCAGATTTACATCCTACGATATACCATGCTAAAGGGCTGCTGCAGTACCTGGCTGCAGTGAAGCATTTACCACTGGTAAGTGGGCAGTATCTGTTTTTACTTTGCGTAGTCAGAGAAATGTTTTTGTTGATTCATGTCTTAGTATTTTGTACTTTAATTTCTGGTTATAAAAGCTAATTGTTAATAATTTTAAAGCAGTTTCTTTAAAATGTCTCTTCCTGTTAGCAGATCACTGTGTTTTCATTATGGTATCAATTGAACATTCAAATTAATACAGTGTATAGAATATTTTTATTTTATCATATTTAATATTTTTAATTCTTTTAAATCCTTTTTCTTTTTTATTTATCAGTCTCTTGGTTGTGAATTTTAGGTTTATAACTTCACTGAACAGCACTGAGATAAAACTGTGTATCTCTCAAATTCTTAAATTCTCAAACCAGTGGAAATATTATTTCTGAGCTCTTTAGTTAACCCTCAACCTGTTAAATCTCCAACACATGCGTGGTCAATGAAGAATAGTCATGATGTTAGACTATACTCTATTTATCTGTCTATACATACATGCACATATGTGTGTGTATGTTTATATCAAACCTACTGCCATTGAGTCAATTCTGACTCATAGCAACCCCCCAGGGTTTCCAAGGCTATAAATCTTTATGGAAGTAGATTGCTTCATTGTTCTCCTGCAGAGCAGCTGGTGGTTTGAACCACCAACCTCTTGGTTAGCAGCCAGATGCCTTACCCACTGTGCCACCAGAGCTCCTTGTGTGTGTGTGTGTGTGTGTATACATATACATATACATATACATATACATATA